GGAACACTGCAAAGCTGTGGGAAGCAGGATAGTAGTATTTAGGATGCTACCCTGGTTCAAATATGGACTCTTGCTCCTTACTAGCTGTGACCTTGGGCAAGTTACTTACCCTCTGTGTGCCTGAGTTTCCTCATCTGAAGACATGGAGGTAAGAGCAATACCTACTTCATGATATTGTTTTGAGAATTAAATGAGTTAAGGCAGTGGATAAAGTGCTTGTAACAGTATCTGGTACCCAGGAAATGCTGTATATTGCTCATAATTTGCATTAGTCTTGAGAGGCATTTAAGCAGAGATGAAAAAGACAAATGCTCTGTGACACCCCCAAGACCCCCAAGATGAGATTACTCCTGTGTGCTGGGTCCTGTAGCCTTTTTTAAAAAACTGAAGTATAGTTGATACAGTATTATAATTGTTTCAAGTGTAGGACATAGTGATTCAACATTTATATACATTACAAAATGTTCACCACTACAATTGTAGTTAACATCTGTCACTATACCAAATTATTACAATATTATTGACTACATTTCCCAGGCTGTACTTTTCATTCCCATGACTTACTTGTTTTATAACTGGAAGTTTAAACCTCTTTATCTTCTTCACCTATTTTGCCCATTCCCTCATTCCCCTCCCCTCTGGCAGTCACCAGTTTGTTCTCTGTATTTTTGAGTCTGATTTTAGGTTGCTTAGTTGTTTGTTTATTTGTTTTGTTCTTAGATTCACACATAAGTGAAATCTTATGGTATAGGTCTTTCTCTGTCTGACTTATTTTACTTAGCTTAATACCCTATTGATCCAACTGTGTTGTCAGAAATGTCAAGATCTCATTCTTTTTTATGGCTAAATAATATTCCATGGCATATATACCACATCTTCTTTACCCATTCATCTATAAAGGGACATTTAGGTTGCTTCCCTATCTTGGCTATTGTAAATAATGCTGCAATAAACAAAAGGGTGCATATATCTTTTAGAATTAGTGTTTCTGTTTTTCTTGAGTAAATACCCAGAAGTAGAGTTTCTGGATCATATGGTATTTCTATTTTTAATTTTTGAGGAATCTCCATACTGTTTTCCACAGTGGCTGTACCAGTTTATACTCCCACCAATAATATAAATTATATACTATTTATAACATAATTTGTATTATATGAATGTGCCCTTTTCTCCACATCCTCACCAACACTTATTATTTCTTAATTTGTTGATATTAGCTGTTCTGGCTGGTGTGAGGTGATATTTCATTGTGGTTGTGATTTGCATTTCTGTGATGATTAGTGATGTTGAACATCTTTTCTTTGTCTATTGGCCACCTGTATATCTTTGGAAAAATGTCTATTCAGATCCTCTGCCCAGTTTTTAATTGGATTATTTGTGTGTGTGTGTGTGTGTGTGTGTGTTGAAGTTTATGAGTTCTTTGTATATTTTGATATCAACCCCTTATTGGATCTATCACTTGAGAATATATTCTCCCATTCTGTGCTGGGTCCTTTAGCTTTTTGTCCTGGTAGGCAGGTATGGATAATCACCAAGAGTTTCTGTTGCTTTTCCATTTTCCAGGCTTCATGTAGAAAACTTTTTTACTATTATAATTTTTTAATATGGAGTAATATACTTGAGTAGGTCATTTTATATTCTAATCTATATTTACCTTACAGCTCTCTTTTTGCATCCAGTACTATACCTTCCTTTAATTAGGGGAAAATGATACCCTGACTTACTACTTTGATTAGCAAGATTTTCTTTCCACCTAGGCCTTCTTCATGTAATTGGTTTAGTAGAGTTTATGTGAACTTTGCAAGTCTCAGTCTCAGGGAATTGAGAATGATAATGCTATGATGACAATGGTAACAACTGAGCACTACCCTTCTTGAATCTTTTCTGTATGCTTGACTGTGCAGAATGCTTGCTGTTATCTCATGAAATGCTTGTGATAAACGGATGAATTAAGAACTATTTTCCTTTAATTTACATATAAGAATACTGAGAATAGAGAGGTTAAGTAACTTGTGAAGATCACATAGCTAGTAAGTGGCAAAGCCTGGCTTCTAGTTCAGGCTGGAACTCCAAGGTTGGTATTCTCAGTGATTATGCTGGGTAAATTCCCAAATGTGTCCCTCCCTTTCAGCTGGGCTTAAACCACTACTTAGGAGTAAACAAGAAAGCACTTCCTAAATGTTCCTGGGGAGCTACTGAAGAGAGTCAAATTCATTGGACACCTAAATGACTTCTCACACACGCAGAGATATGAGGCACCAAGTTATGCACACAATTAATTAAATGGAACAAAACAGAACCTAAATGCCATGTGTCAGAGACAAAGTTAAGCCCAAAGAACATTGATTGAATCAATGTAGTAAAATCTAATTCATTCTTTCAATTGCTATTTATTGAGTGACTACTATGTGGTGGGTCATGAGACATAGCCCTTTTCACTAAGGAACACTGATATCTGCAAACTAAATTCTTGACTAATTTTCAAGATAAAAGTTAGAGAATGGAAATAGCTTCAGCTTTGGAGTTAGCAAAACCTGAATCAAAACCTAGTCCTATTATTCACTGGGTGACTTTGGGAAGTAATTTATAATCTCCTAGTCTCATTATAGAAAGAAGGGGGTCATCTTTGATTCTCTTTTCCAATCTCATCCTACATACAGTTAATCAGCAAATTTGTCTTTAAATATTTCTTGAATATATCCCTTGTGTCTGTCCTCACATCCCCCATCCTAAGGCTGGATTTCATGATTTGTTTATGGATTCTGTAAACCAGTTGGTTTTGCTACCCCCATATTCATTTTCAATCTATCATGCATGTTTGTAAAACTTTACCTCACTGAAACACATCTCTGCTCAAAACCCTTTAGTCACTTCTCATATCCCTGAAGATGTAAGACTCTACTTCTTAATAAGGTATATAAAACCTTTAATGAGCTGAACCCTGCTTAGATTTTTAATCTCCTATGCCAATCTCCCTCCATACATACCCAGTATTTCTCCTAACCTGTTTTGTGCCTTTGTGACTTACCACATGCTATTTTTTAATGCCAAGCCTGAGACATTATCCCCATCCTCACTCTACCAATACCATCTGAAAAACTAAAATTTTACTCCTCCTTCAATGCTTTGCTCAAATACCATCTCCTTTAAGGAGCATTCCTTGAGGATCCCAAAATAGGTAATTTTTACATTATCAGTATGTGTACAGCATGTTTTATACATGTATATTAGCACAATGCATTCAAATGTCATTATTTTTGTATTATGCCAATTGCTTTTAGAAAACTGAACACCTGAGAATAAAGACAGCTTTTCACCTTTGAATCCTGAGTCCTAATGTAATGTCTGCCATGGAGAGGCTGTGCAATAAATATTTATGGTAGTAATGAAGTCAGGTTTGCAGATCAATGGAAAGAACCCAGAAATGCTTTGTGGAGCAGGTGGTATTTGAAGTAGGTCTTGAAAAACTTCTGAAATATTTCCTGAATTTAAAAAATATTAGGATGATCAGTATTCTAACATATACAAATGTTTACGTCTTCATCCCTCTCCTGTTAGTACATAAGAATTTTCCTGTGTAGCTTTGTCTTTTCTATTCAAGGCCCTAGGTGCAGTGCTCAGAGCATGCTGAAGACTTAATAAATATGTTAATTATCCAATTTGAAGAAGCATCTTCCTCATGTCTCCTAGAAGAAGGTTCCACACTGATTTTCCAGTACTATATGGTATCAAAAATAGACCCAGACTTTTTAGCTGGGTCATTGATAGCTCTACACCATACCTTAAAGCAAATAAAAATATTGATACTTTGTATATTTAATTTCTTCTGAACATATTTAAAAATATGTAAGGATAAAAGAATGAGTAAGTATTCCTTTGATCCACAATGGAAAAGGTCTGAAAACCCTGGGTACCTCACTGCTATTCAGCTTAACTCTCCCTGGGCAGATCACTTGAATCTGATTGGAAAAGTAATAGCTGGGCATCTTTCTACTCCAAATGGTGTCTATTTCAGGTTATCAGTGATGGTTAAACTCTTGGGTATTCTGACAGATTTCTTATCTGAATAATTAAATGGAATAACAATACTTTCTGGGCTATTCCCTTCTTGGCTATTGCATGTTTCCACATAAGTAGTTAATTTAAGAAGCCATGCAGATGAAAAAACACTGACATCAATAAAGAAATTATGAATTGCAGAAATCTAGAACACAGTGGAGAAAGAAAAATCTATACTGTTGCAGTCTGTTTTAAATACAAGTATTCCCTTCATTTTAAACCTTCCTATTTAACTAACATAAATATTTTGTCCTGGTAGGTATATCATGGTTAGGAGCCAGGGAAATCATCATTAGGGTCCTCAGTGTTTTTCATTTGTTTGTTTAAAGAAGTCTAAGAGCTCTGTGAAGAAACCTCGTTGTCTGCAGATCTTCAGCTCAGAAATCCCTGCATAATAAGAAAAGTTTGGCTAACTTTCAGGAGCTCATGTAGAATCTAGAGGAAACATCGTGAAGTGGAACAGGGTGGCATCTGGTTGTGGATTATTGTATGTGGATTAGGAAGGCAGATTTGGAAAGAAGAGTTGGCTCGCATTTATCTCTTTTTCCTGTCAAAAGCTGCGTGTTTCTCTCCCAACCTTTGGGTGTCTGCACGTTGGGAGTTTTCAGCTGAGTTCTCAGCCTACAGTCGCCCGTCGAATTGATCGAGGCCAACGCCAAGCCCGATTTTCAACCTAAAGACAACTTCATTTTAGCGGCAAACACACCGTCTCACAACTCTGCCCTTCTCGCACCCTGAGCTAGTTTAGCCAGAGCAAGAGGTGCCGAGGAGAGGTTCAGAGGGGCGGTGGCAACGACCCCCCTTGGCACTGCATTTTGTAGCTGCCAGGAGTAGCCAACAAGCACCAGATTTATGTGCACTTTGAAAGAAGCATCTCCACCATTGGCTTTTTGAGCGGCGCTGTCGCTAGGGAGCGGCAGGCAGGCGAGCACAGCCTCCGGGAGAAGCCCGGGCTGTTTGTTCCTGTAAGCCGGGAGAGGGGCCCCCACAGTCCGGCGGGCAGGTACACACACGCACGCACACGCACGCTCGCGGCGAGTTCGAGCCCCGCGGCCGCTGTCCGCCCGAGGGCGCCCCCCGTGCCTCTCTAGGCGAAGCAGCGCCCACCCCTGATTCCTGCTGCTGCCGCCCAGAGGAAAAAGGAGCCTGGAACCTCCACCTCGAATCCCCCTCCGGCGCCGGGCGCGGCGGAGAGCTGCGGGGTGGGCGCCCAGGGGAGAACGCGGGGAAGAGTTCGCCCTCGCCGAGGAGTTGTCTGATTGGGGGCGCGGTGCCCGGGCTTCCAGCTCTCGGCGCCCCACGCGCTCGCGCCTCCCGGGGCTGCAGCCCACGCCCGCGTCCGGGGCCCGGCCCGCCGCGCCCGGGAAGCCGAGCTCTCGCGCTCCCGTCCCGGCCCGGCCCGGGGGAAGGAGGTTGTCCCCGGCCGTGGCGCACGGCCGCGCGCTCTTCCCGCACTCTGCGGCCGCAGCTGCCTCTCCATGGCGTCTCATCAGCAGTCCCGGATCCAGGCTTACCTGGAGAAGAACAAGATCGGTCCCCTGTTTGAGGTAAGGCGCTGTGGCAGAGGGCGGTCCCGTTTGTCTTTTGGGGAGGGGGTGCGGAACACCCCGCAGGGAAGGAGAGATGGAGAGCAAACGCGCGGGAGGGAGCGGCTCTGTGAGGGCCAAGTGTCCTGGAACTCGGCCGGGAGGGCACTTCGCGGCTTACCTGAGCGCGGACAGGTGCGCTCGGGAGGGCCCAGCCTCAGCCTGGCAGGGGAAGTTTGGGCCGTCACACTGTCCGGCACCTCGCTGCCGCATGCACAGGACCCGTGCAGGCTGGGACGGACGGATGCACACACTTAGACTACCTTACGTACGCACCCTTCCCAGAATTCACACACTATCTGGCGTGTTGGATTTTTTTTTTCTTTCTTTAACGTGGACAGTAGTAGAACCCGAAAAGGTGGTGGAGGTGTTTGGCAGTGGGAAGCTTAACTGGGAGAAAACTGAACTGGTAAGGATTAGGCTTCAATAAGTGCGGGAGTGTGTTGAGTGGAATTGTCAAACTGAGATGCTGACATTGGTCTCTGGACGGCAGAAGCGTCCTTTGCATTGCAGCCCCTACATGTGCTAGGAGGAGAAAGGGGCGGAGAAGGGTTCGGGAGAAGCACACACGTATTTATAGGAAGGAGACACGTAGCTCTGAGTTATTTTCTCTCGCCATCAAAGAATTGATGATCAAATTCAGTAGGAGAAAGGAAGAGCGGGAGGACACGAGAAAATGAGACCTGGAGACCGAAACCCAGCCCCGGCAAAGCGTCCCGCCGGTTGCCGGGGCGCTGGGCAGAAGCGGAGGCCGGCGGGGAGGGACACCCACCGTCCCTTCCCCTCCCCGCCCAACAGTCCAGCGGGCCAAGGACAGGCAGCGAGAGGACGTGGGAGGGTCGAGATGCGCCCCCCTCCACCCCGCCCCAAAGCTGCTGTGGCCACTCTTGGGGATTTACATGTGCTTGGCGTCTAAGGTTGAAAGGCGGCAGGGGTAGAGGTAGCGAGGAAATGGTGCTGCTTCTATAGGACTGAAGAAAAGAGCATGGAACTGCAGAGAAGCAAAATAATGAGATTAATGCCCTAGCTGGAGAAAGAGGGAGGAAGGCAAAGGTGTGATCAGGTCTTTTCCCTCGGGAGGAAGGGTTTCAGATAACCAGGATTTGCAAGATCTCTTAGTCACCCCCCCCCCAACTTAAGTTAACGTTGTACTTGTCTTGAAAAATAAGAACATTGTTTCAACCGAAACTCGTTGTATAGAGTCATAAAGTCCCGCGGTGCTCGTATTGATTCTTGTTTCTGCCAGTGTTAGCAAAAGGAGTCTATATACATTCTACTTCTATTTTTGCTTTCAGTCTAGTGACTAGAGACTAAATAATCATTCAGATGATATATACATGTGTGTGCCTACACACACACACACACACACACACACACACATATTTTTTTAAAACAGAAACGTAATAACGCTTTGTGGTTCAGTGTAGTAATTGCATCAAAAGAAACATAAATACTTGAGTGTTTCTACTCTCCTAGAACATAAAGTACAATTTACAAGGGAGAATAAGTGCATTGTTTTTAAGAGACTATTCGCATTTGTTAACTTTTTAAAAAATTCCCCAGATTCTTCCCAAGTGATAATAATAGAGTTTGGAATATATGTAAACTTTCTACAATAATTAGAAAAGAAACCAAACTTAGTTTTTATCAAGTGCTCATTTTTAAAAATGCTCACCAGTTAGTTCTGCATTGAATTTAAGTGATGGCCAAATTTTCTCATAAAATCGTGACCTTTTCATGAGCAAACAAGGACATACACTTTGTACATATTTTATTTTTCTGGTGATGTATTACATACATTCCCATTAGCTTGCTTTGCAGTGATGAACAGTTAATTTTTAAGAGTTGTTGTGCACTTTAAATAATTGATTAGAGAAAATAGATAAGTTCTCTTCTACTAAAAACAGGTCCATATGCAACAATTATGATCATGACAGAACTTGGTTCTGAGAGTACACATTCTTTGCAAAACCGGAAAAATCTCGCTAGTTTGTAGACTGTCTCGCCTCATGCTGGAAAACCAGTGAAACTAGTGTAAAATGGATATTGTGGATCTAATATTCTCCAAGCATGCAGGATGTTGGGCAGTGGTTCTCATAGGAATTTTTCAGGAGCTCAAAAGAGGAGGCCAAGAATCTGAACTTAGTATGAAGTGGCACAATGATTGTTACATATTTAATTACTGGAACACATTATAAGAAACAGTGACATAAGCTAAATTCTCCTTTTACCAGTCACAGAGTGAAATAGGTGACTCCAAGTTTTATTATCTGTGCTTTGTTGTGACTTTTCTGTGTAGAGACACTGGAGTTGTTGACATAGGCTAACTTTACTTTGAAAACATATGAGACCTGACAATATGTCCCCTTTATGGATTTTGTAAGTTAGGAATGTTTTAAGAAAACTTATTGCAATGAGACACTTTAAAGAAAGAATGTGAATATTATTTAAAACAATAGCAAAGGCAACATATTCTGGTATTGAGAATCCTTATATCCTGTTTTTGTTTTTAACCTGTAAGCATACTTAGTTTATTACTAACATTTTATTATTTGAGAAGCTTACCAAGTGCTACACACAATATGGTGTTTTAAAAACTACTTTAGATTAAAATTAATCTCATTTCTGGGTCATTTAGGGGTATAAATTTGTACTACCTTTAGATATGACTTAAGATGTTGAGGCGTTACAAAACCATGCCTAGAAATCATTGCACTACAGACTTCCACTATAGACATTGATATTTTAATTAAATAATATGAGTACATAAGGTGAAAATGGTAATATTAACTTAACATTCCACAAAATCTTTGAAATTTTTATGTGATACTTTTAGTATTCTTATTGGCTTATTCAGGGCAGGCAAGTAGTGAACACCAGTCTATAAGGAATGCTTGGTATCATTCCAGTAAATTATAACTATGATTCTATTTAATATAGATTTCCACACATAATTCCTTAATTGACTGGGAAGATGTGAAATGGTTTGGCTTCCATCAAAGTAGAACACTTTTGAAACATGAAGAGGCAAGATGCATGGCATGGTGCAAACACAAAACTTATCTCAAACAATAAGAACAACTATTGTAAAAGTTTTACTTAGTTCCCAAGAGGGTATATGATGTGGAACATCACAACAAATTCCTTAATTTCAGCATAAAGAAGTATGCAATTTTCAGTTTCTTTTGTTCCCATTAAATAAATAGAATGATTATTTGAAATTTTTTCCTTGGAACAGTGTTCAGTGTATTCATATACCTTGGCTTTTAGGCCTGATCACACTCATAAGAGGATGAAATACCAAACAATTGAAAAGCAGAATAATGGGTTTTCATAAAGTCGCCATCAAATTTTTAAGTCTCTGTGTACTGAAGTTATGGCAAACCAAATTTACTACATTTCTCTAAATGTGGTCTGACCTACTCCAAGTAGAATGGAACCACTTTATCACCTTCTTTGCTTGGTTCAAAATACTTATCACGTGGTCTAAATTTATGTGAACTGATTTAGCATATCTGTTATGAGGTGGGCTTATATCAAATGTGTGGTGAACCATAAGCCTGCATCATTTAGCCACTTAACTACTGCACAGCTCATTTTTCTCTGGTATCCTGCCTCACATTTCCCAGCCACATCCACAGTCCTGAACTCCAGTTGGCCTGGAAAGGTCAGGAGATTTGTTACATATGAGATGGGGGGATGTTGAGAAAACAAATATATTGAAAATAATGCAACCCAGCTCTCTCACTGATGAAGATGTGAGCCACAGATAGAAAAGGAAAAATGTAGAATGAACCTTGTGGTGGATTGAAATTGGAGGCATTGGTATGATCTCATGATTTCAAGAATAGAAATAGATGTAGATATAATAGAAATAAGTATAGATATGTGTGTATTAACATATGTGTAAATCTATATGCTTACATTTATGTCCTTACTCTGTGTACTGTGAGGGCCTGAGAATAGTAACACCCCAGTAGCAATGTGCACATGTAATGACTAGATTTTGGATTCTAAATACCATGAAATGATATTTTCCATGAAATGAAACCAGGTGTCCTTAGAGAAATTGCTGATTTTTAGGCTTGAGGCTGGGAAAGTAGAAGATGAAACTGGAACATCTTTTTATGCAGGAAAGTAAGGAAGTGGTTAAAGAATGACAGAAACATGACAAGAGGACATAGAGTTCAGCTTTAAGAGGCTAAAATTAATCAATTTTATTAATTTATTAATTTATGCAGGAAAGTAAGGAAGTGGTTAAAGAATGACGGGAACATGTCAAGAGGACATAGAATTCAGCTTTAAGAGGCAACTAATTAATTGTAACAGATTATCTTACTGTATAAAACAGCAATATTTTATTTCACGGGGATATAACAGGATACATGAATTTATTCACTTCATGGGAGAAGAGAAAGCTTTACCTTATAATAAAATGCCAATTAATAAAGGTAGAAGATATGATGGAATTAGGGAATCACTTGTTGACAACCATTTAATAATAATTCAGGCAATTAACATTAACTGATGCTAAAACCAATGGGTAAAAGTTGGATGAGGAATGAGATATTACATATTCTTTAATATCTTTCTGCAAAAGAGTTAATTACAAAGGGGAAAAAGTAACTTTATAGTGAAGAAATTTGATACTACTTTACTCAAGTGATGGAACAAACCAATATTGTGTATACCTTGATAGGATGCAGTTAAAATAACATGACATCACTTCTGTAATATTCCTGTCAATAGTTGAATAGTGAGAAAATAGCTCATAAACCTGCTTTCCTGGAGTCTTCAAAAATGTTAAGGTCGTGAAGGTCAAGGGAGGTCTCAGACTGAAGGGACATAACAGCTAAGTACAAAATATGGTCCTAGAATAGAAACTTTTGGTATGTAGGACATTATTGAGAAAGTTGGCAACCCTTGAGTGGGGTCTCAAGGTGAAGGGTATATTGAGTTCT